ACCAACTTCTCGACCATAAACTGAGGGTGCGGCAGGGATTTGCGTGATTGTGGCCCGATTTCATCGTATGAGAACGTACTACGGCGCGCAGAACGCCGAAGCGAATCCCACCCAGGTGACCTTAGTCCACATTAACCAACCCCCATGCTTACCGCCTGCGCTTCCCGTTGTTTGCCTTTGCTGCTTTTGCTTGTGTGTGACAAAATGGTGGCAGTGACGACGACAGGTTCCTCCGTGCTAAATAGCGTATGGTGGAGAAGGAGGAGACCTTGGAGAACAGGGTGTGGGGAGGGTGTGCTTGTGCGGGCAAGGGTGGGAACCGCACGAGCTGGATAGATAGGTGGCACCGCCACCGTTAGTCCTCTTTGCTGCGACCCTTGCCTTTGTTTCATTCGTGATAGTTATGTCTGTGTGTGTGTGCAGTTATTTTGTGTACTCCTTGTGGTCAAGAACCTGCTGTATTTTGTGGAGTCAGGGACTGCTGTCTAATTCGACCATATTTACCAGCGTGTGTGACGTGCTGAGTCAGTTTAGTAATTTTATTTTTTTTGTCAGTTTGAGGTCAGCCGCCGACTGATATACTGGTAGTGATTTGACTGTATTTGCCATCGGCCCGACGTTAGGAGCAGTCTTGCTTGTCCATAATGTGGAATATTGCCTGACCCAATTCAAGAACAGGCGTTGGACAAAATATGGCCTTTCTTCTATCGGTAACGTCGTGTGTGTACTTAACCGCCGGTGGAAGTCTCGTTCCACCCGATCCTTTTCACACACACGTCATGCCCTCCATGGACAGCACGGGACCTCGTCCTGCCGCACTGCTTTTAAATTTANGGCCCGACGTTAGGAGCAGTCTTGCTTGTACATGATGTGGAATATTGCCTTCCCCAATTCAAGAACAGGCGTTGGACAAAATATGGCCTTTCTTCTATCGGTAACGTCGTGTGTGTACTTAACCGCCGGTGGAAGTCTCGTTCCACCCGATCCTTTTCACACACACGTCATGCCCTCCATGGACAGCACGGGACCTCGTCCTGCCGCACTGCTTTTAAATTTATTATGCGAAAAAATGCGTGCGCCCTGGCGAAAATATGCCCACAAACAAACTTGTGAGGGAGATTCTGCAGTGTACTATAAATTGTTCCTTTCAGGGTATGTAGAAGCGATCACGGACGGGTTCCTTTGTCCCTAGGGATCAGAAATCACTTTTCGAGAGTGTTTTCTTGTCTCTTTTTCAAATCAGACGAAAAAAATGATCATCACGAAAGAGAGGAGAGTGGAAACGAGCTCTCGTTTTGGTTGGCCCGCAGTTTCGCGGTACAACAACATCATCGTACCGGGTGGGTTCCATTTCAAATTTTGGTGCGCGCCGATTACGCGTACTCGACCTATGCAGCACGATACAACCTAATTCAAAGTGCTATACATCCGCAAAAGAGCTACAAGATGCGAGACACCCTGCAGTAAACAGACTTGAGACACAAGCATGACGCCACCGCGTGGATGCCATTTTTCAGCTAAATCTGTCCTCCCCGACGCCTACGCGCAACAAATCACTACAAGACTTTTTCATCTTGCTCTCTATCCAACAGTTCGCATCCGTGCCAAGTTTCGTGCCAATTGGCAACGTATACAGCGCGTTATCGTATTTACCAGGGATGTGCCGTCGGCTCGCTCGAGGTTCCGCCGCGTCTTTGAGGGCTCGCATGCTTTCCATATTCTTTTTGGGCCCACGTGCGGTCTTTCACTGCTGAGTTCTAGCGCTGTGGTGCATGGAATTTCATACTTCTTGGGCCCATCGCTAGCTATTGGAGACATCTACAGCCAAGGTGCTTCATCTTGGAGGGGTGGCTCTGCTGTGTGCGTCTAACTTTTTTTTTGCTACGCGCAGCACTGATTTTTCGTGACCTTGCGTATGCCCCCCCCTCCCGCCCCTCCTCTGCACGATGAGGTAAGGGGGATCGCGGAACCCCGGTGGCGCAACACAAGGCGTGGGCTGCTCCACGCTCTACAATCTAGTGGACGAGGTGGCCGAAGAGATGAACGGCGATGGGGCGAACGAAGCACCTATCTCCAATACACCTCAGGGTACTTGCTCCCCGTCTCTGGATGATGTGGACAGCAAGATGTATGATTCTGTTGACAGCAGCATGAGCACGTCCAAATACACTTCCGAGAACTACAGAAGAGCCGTCGGGGCGAGCTACGTGCTCACCATGGGGGTGTCAGGTATAGTGCTGGTGGCACTCGCGTCCTCTCTGAGAGACCTGGCGTCAGCTCTCGACAAGACATCGGTCGAGGTGAGCGGAAATGATCTGTCCGTGGTGCCGTTTGTCGCAACAGATGTCTCCGCAGGTCCGCGTGTGTAGCCCTTATATTATGTCTGCTACTGCTGTATTGTACATTGGTCTGCTGCTTGCCGTATTCGCTCTGATGCGTGTTTAGAGAGCAGTGACTTGCTCCACCTGTACTCGTCCTGGCGGTGGCTGTCTCCGTGTACGCATGCGCTCGGTTCATTGGAAGGCCTGGTCAATATCCCCACTCATCCACACACGCACACCGCCAACCCATCATCATTTGCAAGCAAGTAATCCCGCGTTTCTCATGTTCAGTAAATTACTGCTGAAACCAGCGCATGAACAGAAACGAGAGTGGCATAACAATTGGCATTTTCGGCAATGTCGTTACGAACCGTGAGCGCGCCTGCTGTTACTCGTGTACGATAGTACCAGTTTAGGCCGCGTGCTCTCTGTGTTTGGAGAGACGCTGTCTCGCCGTACAGCAGTAGATAGTTGAAACGAGAGAAAACTGCTGTGAGTGCCTATTCATTTCTGATAACTTTTAGTTACGAAAAGTAATAATCCGTACAACAACGTCTCCAGGCTCATGCGCCAGGCGACCTCGCCTTCAGCTCAGTAGTACGCTGAAAGGAAGGTTGGTGGGTGAAGACTGTGCACAGCATACCAAGGGCAGGAAGCTGGAAAAGGCGTTCACCTGTATATGGTACTGTAGTGTAGAGGCTACAGCAGCACCTTCAATAGCGTGTCGTTGGCGGTATTACAGAAGAAGACGAAAACAAACTTGCAGTTCACGATGTGCATGCAATGCATGTGATGTTCGAAAACTCAAAGCACAAGCGAGCTGTGGCGTACATCAACAACAAACAAACAAGAAAAAAACAAACCCTGTCCAAATTCCTACAGCAGCAGACCTGCCTGTGCTTACTTTTGCAACCTTGCCTCAGATAATGTATGGTGCAGATGAACTAGTAATTCCACGAAATGGTCACGCTTTCACGCTTTATACCGATTAACATTAACCTTTGACTAACTGCCAGGAAACATTCCACTAAATGCTTGTATCCACGAAGTGTTCATACAGTCGTGGGCCCGGTTCAGCGGTCCATAGTGTCACGAAAATCCATAACCGCTATTCAGGGCATCGTCGCTAAACCTCTTTAGCGGTGATGAACCGCCAAACCGGGAGGCCCAATAGCGCTGATGAAACGCGAACAAACCGGGAAAAAGCCCATTGTTGCCCAACAAGAGCAGCATCGAAAGGTCATCTTGATGTAGGGCCTGCATGTGTCTCATTGCAGCAGTTGTACAAGGTGCAGATGAAAAAGTATCGAAGGATCCACGCCTCACGACTCCGCGCACTCTTCAAGCTGGCCAAAATCGACCTGTAGCTCCGAGTTTGGTGGCTGCGCCATCACCGTCTTGCCCTTCGCACTGTCAACTTCTGCGGTGCAATCTCGCTCTAGCTCTAGCTCCAACCCGTCTTTGGAGGGCTTAGGCCCCTCCGTGTTCATACTGAAGAACTTCTCAACGAGCTTTACTATGTTCGATCCTTCTGCAAAATTTCGATCTCTTCCTGCGCCTTATGTCTGAGTGCGCTACCTTCTGGTCAAGAATATGTGAGACCCCAAGCTTCTGGCCAAAGTTGGCCCGCGTGCGGGGCTGTCGTGTAGCTGCAGCACGAGTGTTTTTTTTCCGCGCCTGGTGCGAAAAAGCTTATCTGCCTCTTTGCGCTTGGTTGGGTAGATTTGCGACGCGAGGGGAACTCTGGGCCTTCTTGGTTGCACACGAATGGCAAATGCGTTTCTCGTTGCCATCAGGACCCTCCACCCCTCTCCATACATGCCGTGCATGCGGCCACCACAGCCACCTTTACAATCGTGCGCGCCGCTTGGACTAAGTGCCGCATCGTTCTTCATCCGCGCACCGCATGGTGTGTGTGTTGCTGTGTGTTATCATTACGAGCATCGACCACGCCAAGGGACTGAGCGATGACTCTGTGTCTCTCCAAAAGTGGAACCGATAACCGATATTGGTGGCTGAAAATATGTCCAGTAACCGCTATTGAGGGCACGACCGGTTTAGCCGTTAACCGCTAAACCGGGCCCTCGACTGTAGTGGTATGTACATCTACCGTTCACTTGTCTGCGAAAGACAGGCAGGGATATCCTACAGGCTGCCCCGGTGGTCTATTGGACACCATCGCAGCCCACTAAGGGTCGGGTCATGGGTTCGAGTCCCGGCAGGTTGAGTTTTTTTCTCACCAAACAAATCTGGTCTAAGTTGGAAGCGACGCGCTGCAAAGCTCCTTGTTAGTACACTCGAACGACTTCACCAGTCGCGAGGGAAGGGATTGCTGTACCCTTCTCGCGATGAAAATATCTCAGGCAGGAACCACAGGAGGGGGTCCAGCCCCCCCCTCTTATGTGACCCCGGTTGGGTCGTCTCGCAAGTAGAAGTGGAGGATGGTGGCCAGAGGGGCAGACGACAGAATCCAATAGTGGGAGAAAAAATGTAAACAAAAAAATTATGTACTTGTAGTGGCACACCGCACAACAAACGTGTAAACTCTCTATCTACCGTTCACCTGTATACGGTAAAGTGCATAGACTACGGCAGCATCTTCAATACTACTGTACAGCGTCGTTGACAGAGTTACAGAAGACAAACAAATTTGCAGCTCTCCGTGAGATGTGCATGCATGCATGTTCGAAAACTCAAAAGCACAAGCCAGCTTGGCGTACCACAACAGCAATAACAATCACTCACCCTGTTCAATTCCTTCCTACAGCAGCAGTAGACCTGTACTTGCCACGTGCAGTAGACCTGTACTTGCCACGTGGAGGGTGTGTGTATTTCAGGCATATACACATACGTTGCCGTGTGCACGTACGTGAAAATACACGATGCACGTGAGGACTTCGAAGTAATTACTTCATTTTATTAGCGTTTCTTGCGCTAGAGATGGTGACATCACGCTGTCGATATCTAGTTGCCACCACGCGGCCCAATTACAATAAAATCCGCCGTCGGTGCTACATGTAACAACGGGTTGGTCGTGGTTAATGAGTTGACGTTCCCCGAAATCTCGTCCAATGAGCTGCGTGATTCTTGGAGGTGACAGTCCCTCCCGTAAACGCCCGAATGCAGGAGATTTAGTCGTACTTCACAGTGCTGTAACTCGACTTGCCCTTGGAGTCTCGAGCTCGCGACAGGGGCGCTGTGATCGTGAGAGTGGCACGCCTACGTCGGCGAAGGCGGCCGGAAAAAAAAATTAAATCCCATTTAAAAGCAATTAAAACCGATATACCGCACCGCAGCGTCTAGCTCAATGACCGAAATAGTGGTTGCCTGCATTCACCGTGCGTTAACTCTACTCGTTTTTGGAGTTTCGAGGTCGCGACAGGGGCGCTGTGATCCAGAGACTGGCCCGCTGCAGCGGGCAACAGTCGGCGGAAAAAAAGTCTCAAGGCGACCGCGAACTGATGCACCGAAAAAAAACGTCTTGCTTCTAGAGTAGAACAATGGTTGAAATCTTGCGTCTCAGGCTTCCGACATCATAGTAATCGGCCCCCCGCGGCCTCAGACGAAGTGTGTTGAGGTCAATTTATTACCTCGGACTGAAGTATTTTCGGTCGAATGCCGCATGCCGAGGGATGGTGGCGAGACCGATGCGGTGATGGCGTCGGCATTGATTGGCAGAGATGATCATTTCGTTGTAAAATGGCGCGGTTGTTTTCATGGCGGCAGGCGGAGCGATATTCATCGTGAATTTGAAACTCCAATGGAATGTTTTCATTCAACAAAAGACGCAGGGCTAAGTCCACTCAGACAGGTGCGGGAATGAAACACTGCGTGGCCTAAGTAGCCGGAAAGAATTATTGTGAACAAATCAGAACCTTGAAACACACACTTAGCTATAGCTGCGAAAAGGACGCCCACTTGCGGAGAAGCAAATAAATAAACACGAAAATGCCCACCAGGCAGATGAATCCAGAGAGTGAGGGTGGACTCTCGAGAGTGAGGGTGAAAAAACATGAATTTCCCCGAAAATTCAATATCCAACAAACGGTCGACACCCACTATAGCCGCGGAAAGGACGGCCACTTGTAGCAACCAAACGTGCAAATGCCAGGAGGGTTGTGTGCTCGTGGTCGTGCAAGAAATAAGAAATCCCCATGATCTGCTACAGCCCGTACTGCTGCAGTACGGCAGGAACAAAAGACAAAAGGACGAAGAAATCCTCAATCGGCGAGAAGTTGCTCTGAACGCCCGAACAGTTCGTAGTCGAGAAAGGTTCGCCTTCGCTGGTTGAAACTGAAGTTGGTTGTTGATGGGGAGGGACTGTGAAGGGGGTGATTTTTTCGTGAAACACACACAGAAAGCTAAAAGCTACCCAATCACTTCGGGAACTCGGCAATCAGGTTACCGTTTTTTTTTTTTTACCTCCGTTTTTTTTTTTTGGCGGTAACCATAATGGTGGTCGAGTTGATCATGTTGTGCGGGGTCGAGAACCCTCACTCCGCGCAAGGGGGATGATCGCACCACGTTGTGTTAAAACGGTCAAGCATCCTCGAGGCAGTTACACAGGTGCTTACAACTGTCTCTGGAAGTAAAGCACCAGAAAAAATATTAAGTCATACGCAGCTGTCATCCGTACGCAAGGAAGTAAGCACAAGATGCCGAAAACCCTTAGCAGGATGCAGCGCACCCTTCATGCGACTCGCCGAATATCTCACGGCGCTTCGCGCTTGGTGATGTGAGAGCCTGGTCCGGTGAGAACCCGGCGTGCTCCGTCCCGGCTTTGTAGGGATGCGAGGTCAATGGTCCAACGACTACGGCATGCACGACTACGCGTACACCCCCCCCCACCCACCCCCGAGTAGAGAAGTCTTCAAGCAGTACCTGAGTGAGGTGTTTGAGGAGAGTTGGGAAAAGTACAGGGCCAAGAGAAAACAGGTGAAGGGACTAGTGA